GAGGAGCACAGGGACTGGCCTCCTGCTGGGACTCTGAGGAGCACAGGGACTGGCCTCCTGCTGGGACTCTGAGGAGCACAGGGACTGGCCTCCTGCTGGGACTCTGAGGAGCACAGGGACTGGACTCCTGCTGGGACTCTGAGGAGCACAGGGACTGTCCTCCTGCTGGGACTCTGAGGAGCACAGGGACTGGCCTCCTGCTGGGACTCTGAGGAGCACAGGGACTGGCCTCCTGCTGGGACTCTGAGGAGCACAGGGACTGGCCTCCTGCTGGGACTCTGAGGAGCACAGGGACTGGACTCCTGCTGGGACTCTGAGGAGCACAGGGACTGGCCTCCTGCTGGGACTCTGAGGAGCACAGGGACTGGCCTCCTGCTGGGACTCTGAGGAGCACAGGGACTGGCCTCCTGCTGGGACTCTGAGGAGCACAGGGACTGGCCTCCTGCTGGGACTCGAGGAGCACAGGGACTGGCCTCCTGCTGGGACTCTGAGGAGCACAGGGACTGGACTCCTGCTGGTCCCAGAGTCAGGACTAAACATTTCAGATTTATGCTAAAACCAGGTAAAGTGATGAAAAATAATTAAAAAATGTCTAATTTGGTAAAACTTAATCTGACACTTTCTGACTGAGCCTTAAAACCAGATTCTCCAACGGGACAGAACACCTCAGAACCACTCAGTTCAGGCGTTTATCATCACCTCATACTGTACAAGTTTGTAAAGAGCTCATAGTGAATGCTTCCTGGTCCCTGTGGAGTCCATGGTATTAAACCAGGTGTTCCCCATGGTACCTTTGCTGCAGCATTAGTCTGTTTAGAGACGCTGACTCAGCACAACGACTAAGGACCCAGACCAGGACCAGAGAGAGACCAGAGAGAGACCAGAGAGCGAGACCAGAGAGCGAGACCAGAGAGAGTGACCAGAGCGAGACCAGAGAGCGAGACCAGAGAGAGAGAACAGAGAGAGACCAGAGAGAGACCAGAGAGGGAGAGACCAGAGCGAGACCAGAGAGCGAGACCAGAGAGAGAGAACAGAGAGAGACCAGAGAGAGACCAGAGAGAGAGAGACCAGAGAGAGACCAGAGAGAGACCAGAGAGAGTGACCAGAGCGAGACCAGAGAGCGAGACCAGAGAGAGAGACCAGAGAGAGACCAGAGAGGGAGAGACCAGAGCGAGACCAGAGAGCGAGACCAGAGAGAGAGAACAGAGAGAGACCAGAGAGAGACCAGAGAGAGAGAGACCAGAGAGAGACCAGAGAGAGACCAGAGAGAGTGACCAGAGCGAGACCAGAGAGCGAGACCAGAGAGAGAGACCAGAGAGAGACCAGAGAGAGACCAGAGAGAGACCAGAGAGAGACCAGAGAGAGTGACCAGAGCGAGACCAGAGAGCGAGACCAGAGAGAGAGACCAGAGAGAGACCAGAGAGAGAGACCAGAGCGAGACCAGAGAGCGAGACCAGAGAGAGACCAGAGAGAGACCAGAGAGAGAGACCAGAGGGAGACCAGAGACCAGAGAGAGACCAGATCATCACATGCTTTCAACCAATTATATGTATTTTATAGTGTTTATTTTTATTTTTAACATGAATAACTGGTATTTTATTGATTTCATTACATTTTGTCAGTGACACTTATAAAGCTGACAAACCTGTTTATTTAAATGTGTAACTTGTATCTCTGTGCAGCACATCGGAAACTGGTTTTATAAAATGTTCTATATAAACAAATTGGACTGAGATCGAGGCTAAGACCAAACTCCCGTCGGCTTCAGCCTCGGTCAAACCCTCTGACCCATGGCACTGAGACGAGTGGCTTCTTCTGTAAAACGCTTAAAATATACTTTGGAGAAAAAGGTGAAGCTATTTTTTACCTTTTATTTCACTTCAAATTTCCCCACTGTGGGACCTTTGAAGGATTTCTGGAGCTTAAAAATCGACTAAAAGAAATCAATATTTGGAGCAAAAACACATGGCTGATCTTTCAGATGTGGAGTGGTCTCGGTCCTGGGTCTACAGCCTCAGTCCTGGGTCTACAGCCTCAGTCCTGGGTCTACAGCCTCAGTCCTGGGTCTACAGCCTCAGTCCTGGGTCTACAGCCTCAGTCCTGGGTCTACAGCCTCAGTCTGTGGGAGAGAGTGAGACCTGGGAGAGAGAGACCTGGGAGAGAGAGACCTGGGAGAGAGAGACCTGGGAGAGAGAGACCTGGGAGAGAGAGACCTGGGAGAGAGAGACCTGGGAGAGAGACCTGAGAGAGAGAGACCTGAGAGAGTGAGATCTGAGAGAGTGAGACCTGAGAGAGTGAGACCTGGGAGAGAGAGACCTGGGAGAGAGAGACCTGGGAGAGAGAGACCTGAGAGAGAGAGACCTGAGAGAGAGAGACCTGGGAGAGAGAGACCTGGGAGAGAGAGACCTGGAGAGAGAGACCTGAGAGAGAGAGACCTGAGAGAGAGAGACCTGGGAGAGAGAGACCTGGGAGAGAGAGACCTGAGAGAGAGACCTGGGAGAGAGAGACCTGAGAGAGAGAGACCTGGGAGAGAGACCTGAGAGAGAGAGACCTGAGAGAGTGAGATCTGAGAGAGTGAGACCTGGGAGAGAGAGACCTGGGAGAGAGAGACCTGAGAGAGAGAGACCTGAGAGAGAGAGACCTGGGAGAGAGAGACCTGAGAGAGAGACCTGAGAGAGAGAGACCTGAGAGAGAGAGACCTGAGAGAGAGAGACCTGGGAGAGAGAGACCTGAGAGAGTGAGACCTGGGAGAGAGAGACCTGGGAGAGAGAGACCTGAGAGAGAGAGACCTGGGAGAGAGACCTGAGAGAGAGAGACCTGGGAGAGAGAGACCTGGGAGAGAGAGACCTGGGAGAGAGAGAGACCTGGGAGAGAGAGACCTGAGAGAGAGAGACCTGAGAGAGTGAGATCTGAGAGAGTGAGACCTGGGAGAGAGAGACCTGGGAGAGAGAGACCTGGGAGAGAGAGACCTGAGAGAGAGAGACCTGGGAGAGAGAGACCTGGGAGAGAGAGACCTGGGAGAGAGAGAGACCTGAGAGAGAGACCTGGGAGAGAGAGACCTGAGAGAGAGAGACCTGAGAGAGAGAGACCTGGGAGAGAGAGACCTGAGAGAGAGACCTGAGAGAGTGAGACCTGGGAGAGAGAGACCTGGGAGAGAGAGACCTGGGAGAGAGAGACCTGAGAGAGAGACCTGAGAGAGAGAGACCTGAGAGAGAGAGACCTGGGAGAGAGAGACCTGAGAGAGAGAGACCTGGGAGAGAGAGACCTGGGAGAGAGAGACCTGGGAGAGAGAGACCTGAGAGAGAGAGACCTGGGAGAGAGAGACCTGAGAGAGAGACCCGAGTGAGAGAGACCTGAGTGAGAGAGACCAGGGAAGAGAGACATATTTCTTCTGGTCCACCGACTGTCACTCGGCTGATCGGTAAAACCTAAAAACCCTTTTCTGTGAGGACATTAGCGGTGCCTAGACCGACCCTTGAGGAGCTCCCTAACTCCACAGAGCTGCAGACCTCGGCCTCATTCATCACAAATACACTGTACTTTAAGTTTCATGGTTCTTCCCCTCATTAAAATGATGTCCGTGGCAGACTGAATCATTGACGGAGCTAATACAGATTTCTGGGGCTAACGAGGAGGCAGCTGCTATAAACAGGCCCATGTTTTATAATCAGATATTGGATTGGCTGTCAGGACGGTCCTTGGGGTTTCATCCATAAATTAAGTTGGCTGCAGCGGGGGAAATATCTGCTCGCAATCCATGCTTACAGAGCGCTGTCTCCTTGTTTATCGAGATTTCATTTTTCTGCCGAGGCTCTGGGGCGATAACAATAACAACTGCTTCCATTAGAGACGCCGTAGAGTGGAGAAAACTGATGTGGGATTGATGTTTTAGACCAGGGCTGTCAGGGGCGTTTGGGTCAGAGGCGTTTGGGTCAGAGGCGTTTGGGTCAGAGGCGTTTGGGTCATGGGCGTTTGGGTCATGGGCGTTTGGGTCATGGGCGTTTGGGTCAGAGGCGTTTGGGTCATGGGCGTTTGGGTCATGGGCGTTTGGGTCATGGGCGTTTGGGTCAGGGGCGTTTGGGTCAGAGGCGTTTGGGTCAGAGGCGTTTGGGTCAGAGGCGTTTGGGTCATGGGCGTTTGGGTCATGGGCGTTTGGGTCAGGGGCGTTTGGGTCATGGGCGTTTGGGTCAGAGGCGTTTGGGTCATGGGCGTTTGGGTCATGGGCGTTTGGGTCAGAGGCGTTTGGGTCAGAGGCGTTTGGGTCAGGGGCGTTTGGGTCAGAGGCGTTTGGGTCAGGGGCGTTTGGGTCAGAGGCGTTTGGGTCAGGGGCGTTTGGGTCAGGGGCGTTTGGGTCAGGGGCGTTTGGGTCATGGGCGTTTGGGTCAGAGGCGTTTGGGTCAGGGGCGTTTGGGTCAGAGGCGTTTGGGTCAGAGGCGTTTGGGTCAGGGGCGTTTGGGTCATGGGCGTTTGGGTCATGGGCGTTTGGGTCAGAGGCGTTTGGGTCAGAGGCGTTTGGGTCAGAGGCGTTTGGGTCAGAGGCGTTTGGGTCAGAGGCGTTTGGGTCATGGGCGTTTGGGTCAGGGGCGTTTGGGTCATGGGCGTTTGGGTCATGGGCGTTTGGGTCATGGGCGTTTGGGTCATGGGCGTTTGGGTCATGGGCATTTGGGTCAGAGGCGTTTGGGTCAGAGGCGTTTGGGTCAGAGGCGTTTGGGTCAGAGGCGTTTGGGTCAGAGGCGTTTGGGTCAGAGGCGTTTGGGTCAGAGGCGTTTGGGTCAGAGGCGTTTGGGTCAGGGGCGTTTGGGTCAGGGGCGTTTGGGTCATGGGCGTTTGGGTCATGGGCGTTTGGGTCAGAGGCGTTTGGGTCATGGGCGTTTGGGTCATGGGCGTTTGGGTCATGGGCGTTTGGGTCATGGGCGTTTGGGTCATGGGCGTTTTGGGTCATGGGCGTTTGGGTCAGAGGCGTTTGGGTCAGGGGCGTTTGGGTCAGGGGCGTTTGGGTCATGGGCGTTTGGGTCAGAGGCGTTTGGGTCATGGGCGTTTGGGTCAGAGGCGTTTGGGTCAGAGGCGTTTGGGTCAGAGGCGTTTGGGTCATGGGCGTTTGGGTCATGGGCGTTTGGGTCATGGGCGTTTGGGTCATGGGCGTTTGGGTCATGGGCGTTTGGGTCAGAGGCGTTTGGGTCAGGGGCGTTTGGGTCAGGGGTGTTTGGGTCATGGGCGTTTGGGTCAGGGGCGTTTGGGTCAGGGGCGTTTGGGTCATGGGCGTTTGGGTCATGGGCGTTTGGGTCAGGGGCGTTTGGGTCAGAGGCGTTTGGGTCATGGGCGTTTGGGTCAGAGGCGTTTGGGTCAGAGGCGTTTGGGTCATGGGCGTTTGGGTGATGGGCGTTTGGGTCATGGGCGTTTGGGTCAGAGGCGTTTGGGTCATGGGCGTTTGGGTCAGAGGCGTTTGGGTCAGGGGCGTTTGGGTCAGGGGCGTTTGGGTCAGGGGCGTTTGGGTCAGAGGCGTTTGGGTCAGGGGCGTTTGGGTCATGGGCGTTTGGGTCATGGGCGTTTGGGTCAGGGGCGTTTGGGTCAGAGGCGTTTGGGTCATGGGCGTTTGGGTCATGGGCGTTTGGGTCATGGGCGTTTGGGTCAGAGGCGTTTGGGTCATGGGCGTTTGGGTCATGGGCGTTTGGGTCATGGGCGTTTGGGTCATGGGCGTTTGGGTCATGGGCGTTTGGGTCAGGGGCGTTTGGGTCAGGGGCGTTTGGGTCAGAGGCGTTTGGGTCAGGGGCGTTTGGGTCAGAGGCGTTTGGGTCAGGGGCGTTTGGGTCAGAGGCGTTTGGGTCAGAGGCGTTTGGGTCAGAGGCGTTTGGGTCATGGGCGTTTGGGTCAGAGGCGTTTGGGTCAGAGGCGTTTGGGTCAGAGGCGTTTGGGTCAGAGGCGTTTGGGTCATGGGCGTTTGGGTCAGGGGCGTTTGGGTCAGGGGCGTTTGGGTCAGGGGAGTTTGGGTCATGGGCGTTTGGGTCAGGGGCGTTTGGGTCAGAGGCGTTTGGGTCATGGGCGTTTGGGTCAGGGGCGTTTGGGTCATGGGCGTTTGGGTCATGGGCGTTTGGGTCAGAGGCGTTTGGGTCATGGGCGTTTGGGTCAGAGGCGTTTGGGTCAGAGGCGTTTGGGTCAGAGGCGTTTGGGTCATGGGCGTTTGGGTCATGGGCGTTTGGGTCAGAGGCGTTTGGGTCAGAGGCGTTTGGGTCAGGGGCGTTTGGGTCATGGGCGTTTGGGTCATGGGCGTTTGGGTCATGGGCGTTTGGGTCAGAGGCGTTTGGGTCATGGGCGTTTGGGTCATGGGCGTTTGGGTCATGGGCGTTTGGGTCATGGGCGTTTGGGTCAGAGGCGTTTGGGTCAGAGGCGTTTGGGTCAGAGGCGTTTGGGTCATGGGCGTTTGGGTCAGAGGCGTTTGGGTCAGAGGCGTTTGGGTCAGAGGCGTTTGAGTCATGGGCGTTTGGGTCATGGGCGTTTGGGTCATGGGCGTTTGGGTCATGGGCGTTTGGGTCAGAGGCGTTTGGGTCATGGGGTTTGGGTCATGGGCGTTTGGGTCATGGGCGTTTGGGTCAGAGGCGTTTGGGTCATGGGCGTTTGGGTCAGAGGCGTTTGGGTCATGGGCGTTTGGGTCAGAGGCGTTTGGGTCATGGGCGTTTGGGTCAGAGGCGTTTGGGTCATGGGCGTTTGGGTCATGGGCGTTTGGGTCATGGGCGTTTGGGTCATGGGCGTTTGGGTCAGAGGCGTTTGGGTCAGAGGCGTTTGGGTCAGGGGCGTTTGGGTCATGGGCGTTTGGGTCATGGGCGTTTGGGTCATGGGCGTTTGGGTCATGGGCGTTTGGGTCAGAGGCGTTTGGGTCAGGGGCGTTTGGGTCAGGGGCGTTTGGGTCATGGGCGTTTGGGTCATGGGCGTTTGGGTCATGGGCGTTTGGGTCAGAGGCGTTTGGGTCAGAGGCGTTTGGGTCATGGGCGTTTGGGTCATGGGCGTTTGGGTCATGGGCGTTTGGGTCAGAGGCGTTTGGGTCAGAGGCGTTTGGGTCAGGGGCGTTTGGGTCAGGGGCGTTTGGGTCAGAGGCGTTTGGGTCATGGGCGTTTGGGTCATGGGCGTTTGGGTCATGGGCGTTTGGGTCATGGGCGTTTGGGTCAGGGGCGTTTGGGTCAGGGGCGTTTGGGTCATGGGCGTTTGGGTCAGGGGCGTTTGGGTCATGGGCGTTTGGGTCATGGGCGTTTGGGTCAGAGGCGTTTGGGTCAGAGGCGTTTGGGTCAAAGGCTTTTGGGTCAGGGGCGTTTGGGTCAGGGGCGTTTGGGTCATGGGCGTTTGGGTCATGGGCGTTTGGGTCATGGGCGTTTGGGTCAGAGGCGTTTGGGTCAGAGGCGTTTGGGTCAGAGGCGTTTGGGTCAGAGGCGTTTGGGTCATGGGCGTTTGGGTCAGAGGCGTTTGGGTCATGGGCGTTTGGGTCAGAGGCGTTTGGGTCAGAGGCGTTTGGGTCAAAGGCTTTTGGGTCAGGGGCGTTTGGGTCAGGGGCGTTTGGGTCAGGGGCGTTTGGGTCAGGGGCGTTTGGGTCATGGGCGTTTGGGTCAGAGGCGTTTGGGTCAGAGGCGTTTGGGTCAGAGGCGTTTGGATCATGGGCGTTTGGGTCAGAGGCGTTTGGGTCATGGGCGTTTGGGTCATGGGCGTTTGGGTCATGGGCGTTTGGGTCATGGGCGTTTGGGTCAGAGGCGTTTGGATCATGGGCGTTTGGGTCATGGGCGTTTGGGTCATGGGCGTTTGGGTCAGGGGCGTTTGGGTCATGGGCGTTTGGGTCATGGGCGTTTGGGTCATGGGCGTTTGGGTCAGAGGCGTTTGGGTCAGAGGCGTTTGGGTCATGGGCGTTTGGGTCAGGGGCGTTTGGGTCATGGGCGTTTGGGTCATGGGCGTTTGGGTCATGGGCGTTTGGGTCATGGGCGTTTGGGTCATGGGCGTTTGGGTCAGAGGCGTTTGGGTCATGGGCGTTTGGGTCAGGGGCGTTTGGGTCATGGGCGTTTGGGTCATGGGCGTTTGGGTCATGGGCGTTTGGGTCAGAGGCGTTTGGGTCATGGGCGTTTGGGTCAGGGGCGTTTGGGTCAGGGGCGTTTGGGTCATGGGCGTTTGGGTCATGGGCGTTTGGGTCATGGGCGTTTGGGTCAGGGGCGTTTGGGTCATGGGCGTTTGGGTCATGGGCGTTTGGGTCATGGGCGTTTGGGTCATGGGCGTTTGGGTCAGAGGCGTTTGGGTCAGAGGCGTTTGGGTCATGGGCGTTTGGGTCATGGGCGTTTGGGTCAGAGGCGTTTGGGTCAGAGGCGTTTGGGTCAGAGGCGTTTGGGTCAGAGGCGTTTGGGTCAGAGGCGTTTGGGTCAGAGGCGTTTGGGTCATGGGCGTTTGGGTCAGAGGCGTTTGGGTCATGGGCGTTTGGGTCAGAGGCGTTTGGGTCATGGGCGTTTGGGTCAGAGGCGTTTGGGTCAGGGGCGTTTGGGTCAGGGGCGTTTGGGTCATGGGCGTTTGGGTCATGGGCGTTTGGGTCATGGGCGTTTGGGTCATGGGCGTTTGGGTCATGGGCGTTTGGGTCATGGGCGTTTGGGTCAGAGGCGTTTGGGTCATGGGCGTTTGGGTCATGGGCGTTTGGGTCATGGGCGTTTGGGTCATGGGCGTTTGGGTCATGGGCGTTTGGGTCATGGGCGTTTGGGTCATGGGCGTTTGGGTCATGGGCGTTTGGGTCATGGGCGTTTGGGTCATGGGCGTTTGGGTCATGGGCGTTTGGGTCATGGGCGTTTGGGTCATGGGCGTTTGGGTCATGGGCGTTTGGGTCATGGGCGTTTGGGTCATGGGCGTTTGGGTCATGGGCGTTTGGGTCATGGGCGTTTGGGTCATGGGCGTTTGGGTCATGGGCGTTTGGGTCATGGGCGTTTGGGTCATGGGCGTTTGGGTCATGGGCGTTTGGGTCATGGGCGTTTGGGTCATGGGCGTTTGGGTCAGAGGCGTTTGGGTCATGGGCGTTTGGGTCATGGGCGTTTGGGTCATGGGCGTTTGGGTCAGAGGCGTTTGGGTCATGGGCGTTTGGGTCATGGGCGTTTGGGTCATGGGCGTTTGGGTCATGGGCGTTTGGGTCATGGGCGTTTGGGTCAGAGGCGTTTGGGTCAGAGGCGTTTGGGTCATGGGCGTTTGGGTCATGGGCGTTTGGGTCATGGGCGTTTGGGTCATGGGCGTTTGGGTCATGGGCGTTTGGGTCATGGGCGTTTGGGTCAGAGGCGTTTGGGTCAGAGGCGTTTGGGTCATGGGCGTTTGGGTCATGGGCGTTTGGGTCATGGGCGTTTGGGTCATGGGCGTTTGGGTCATGGGCGTTTGGGTCATGGGCGTTTGGGTCAGAGGCGTTTGGGTCATGGGCGTTTGGGTCATGGGCGTTTGGGTCATGGGCGTTTGGGTCAGAGGCGTTTGGGTCATGGGCGTTTGGGTCAGAGGCGTTTGGGTCAGGGGCGTTTGGGTCATGGGCGTTTGGGTCATGGGCGTTTGGGTCATGGGCGTTTGGGTCATGGGCGTTTGGGTCATGGGCGTTTGGGTCATGGGCGTTTGGGTCATGGGCGTTTGGGTCATGGGCGTTTGGGTCATGGGCGTTTGGGTCATGGGCGTTTGGGTCATGGGCGTTTGGGTCATGGGCGTTTGGGTCATGGGCGTTTGGGTCATGGGCGTTTGGGTCATGGGCGTTTGGGTCATGGGCGTTTGGGTCATGGGCGTTTGGGTCATGGGCGTTTGGGTCAGAGGCGTTTGGGTCATGGGCGTTTGGGTCATGGGCGTTTGGGTCAGAGGCGTTTGGGTCAGAGGCGTTTGGGTCATGGGCGTTTGGGTCATGGGCGTTTGGGTCATGGGCGTTTGGGTCATGGGCGTTTGGGTCATGGGCGTTTGGGTCAGAGGCGTTTGGGTCAGAGGCGTTTGGGTCATGGGCGTTTGGGTCATGGGCGTTTGGGTCATGGGC